GCAAATGAACTTACATTTACAATTATTTCAGATGGACTTAAACAAACTAAACAAAGTTTCTGTTATCCAGAAGGAGGCGAAGCCAATAAAAAAGCTGCAGGAATTACAAGTTGACAAACCGTATAAAATAATCAACTCTAAAATCTGCAAAACTACATTTGGACAATCAGTTCTTCTGGAACTAGAGGAGGCGGTAATATTCCTACCGAAGCGGGTTACCGAGGACTACACCCCCTATATAGACCAACTGAAATCAGAACTGTACGCTGTCATCTTCAGAGGACTGGTGAGCACGGGCAAGGTGAATCCGGCGGCGTCATTTGAAATAATTCAAATTTAAGAAAAATTGTAAGTAGATTTTTTTTCCATCCGAAATTTTTGAAAAATGAATTCTGAGGAAATCGCTCTTCTTAGTAGTGAGATTATTAAAAAATTTGATAAAGCTGAAAAACTACTTTTTTTAAAAAAGCGTTGTTCAGATAAAAAAACAGAAAATTGGATAAAACACGTTAAAAAACATATACGTTTATGCAATTTAGCTATTAAGGATGGCGATTTAAGCATAGGGACGCTACGAAAACTTCAAACCAATGTAGGGATCCTCAAAAGATTTCTAATTATACTTCGAAATTTAAATTCTGTTACGGGCGGTGGGTTAAATAATAGACGTACAAATAAAGCAAAGGTTGTTTGGAGAAATATAGTATCAATTTTTCAAAGTAGAGTACAAACAGGAATAGTTATTAATAAAGAGCATAAAGATATTTTACAGTTTTTTGCTGATGCGTTTAAACTATTTAAAAAAAATTACATACAACTTAAACAGAATGAGCATGCTAAAAGTAAATACTACATTTTGTGGGGAATTTATCAAAAAAGCTGAAGAGGTTGAAATTTTAGAACGAAAATATTTTAATACTAAAAACGAAGTTATTGATGTGACTACCGATTTAGAGTATTGGTTTGAAGTTTACGTTAAAAATGTTGTTTTGAATGATTTATCTGAATTTGAGGAATCTCAAAGTGGTTGGGCAATGAATAAAATTATATCTTTAGAAATAAACATTAATGAGTTTGAAATGGCCAAAGGAGCCTCATCGTATATTCAATTGCATCCTAAAGTTACCCGAAAACGTGCTTGTATCAATGTTATGAATAACGATCAGGCTTGTTTTGCATGGGCCATTGTATCAGCACTATATTCAGTTGACATAAACAGCAACAGAACTACTTCATACCCCCATTACACCAATGTTCTTAATTTAAAAGGTCTTACATTTCCAGTAACTCTAAATCAAATTCCTCTATTTGAAAAAAATAATGAAAATATTTCCGTTAATGTTTTCGAGTTAAATGTTAAAGACGAGCATTTCAATTTTTCTGTGCTTCCTGTGAGATTAACTAAACAAAAACGAGAAAAACATATCAATCTGTTAATAGTTCAAAATAAATATTATTTTAATAATAAAGTGGACAGCGTTGAACCATGGAGTGATGGACATGATGAAGATATAATACATTTTCACTATGTTTGGATAAAAGATTTAGGTAAACTTGTCAATTCACAACTTTCTAAACACAATGGGAAAAAATATATATGTGATAGATGTCTTAATTATTTTTATACAAAAGAAAAGTTGGATGCTCATAGCATCTACTGCGAAAAGATAGATGACTGCAAAATAAGTTTCACCAAGGAACCATATGTTAAATTTAAAAACTTTGTTTACCAAGAAAAATTGCCGTTCATAGTATACGCAGATTTTGAATCACTACTCGTTCCTCTTCGCGCATCCCACTCAACACCATTAACTACGTCAACATATCCATATCAAAAACACACAGCGTACAGTGCCGGATTATATTTTAAGTGTAATCATGATGATAATTTATCATTCTATAAAAGCCATGTGGGTTTGGATTGTATGTCATGGTTTTCACGTGAGATTGACAACTTATCTGAATTTATTTATTCAAAATTAATAGATATTCAACCCATGAACGTTGAAGTAAGTTTAAAGGATGCTACTGAGAGATGTCACATTTGCAATAGAAAATTTTTGGAAAAGGATCGAATTGTAAGAGACCATTGTCATTTGACTGGCAATTTTAGAGGTTTTGCACACAATGGATGCAATTTAAATTACAAAAAATCATTTGTGGTTCCAATAGCCTTCCACAATATGAGTGGATACGACTCGCATTTCATAATAAAGGATTTAGCAAAAATGTACCACATTTCCATTTTACCGGTCAACAAAGAAAAATATATTGGTTTCACAGTTTACAATAAAAAGACAAAGATTAGTTTCCGTTTCATTGATACTTTTAGATTTATGGGAAGTTCATTAGATAGCTTAGTTTCAACTTTAAAGCCGGAAAATTTTGGAATTTTAAAAAAGAATTTCCAAATTTAGATGATGAAACGTTCAAGCTGTTAATTAAAAAAGGAGTGTTCTTCTATGATTATTTAGATAAAATTGAACGGTTGGATGAAACAAAGCTGCCGAATAAAGAACAATTCTACAATAAACTGAATGATGAGCATATATCAGATTCAAATTATGCTCACGCTAAATTAGTTTGGGAGAAATTTAACATGAAAACTCTTTGGGACTACAGTAATTTATACATGAAGACAGATATACTTCTTTTAGCTGTAGTTTTCGAAACTTTTCGAGACACATGCTTCAAAACATATGGGTTAGATCCAGGACACTATTATACCATCCCAGGTTTCACATGGGATGCAATGCTCAAGTATACAGGATGTCACTTAGAAACTATACAAGATGTCGATATGCTTTTATTCTATGAACGGGGTATACGTGGAGGTATATCACAGTGTTGTAACCGTATGGGGGAGGCTAACAACAAATACATGATAAATTACGATCCTTCTAAACCTTCTAAATATATTATATACCTTGATGTTAATAATCTGTATGGTTGGGCGATGTCGCAATTCCTTCCATATGGCGGTTTCCATTGGGTTGATACAAATATCGATGTTATGTCAATACCTGACAATGCAGAAGAGGGATACATTCTTGAAGTTGATCTCTCCTACCCAGAAAACTTACATGACTACCATAAAGATCTACCGTTTTGTGTAGAACATTGCAAACCTCCTGGTTCCAAACAATCTAAACTCTTGTCCACTCTGTATAATAAAACTAACTACGTTATTCACTACAGGAACCTAAAACAGGCTATATCACATGGATTAGTTCTTACTAAAATTCATAAGGTATTGAGATTCAAGCAAATGGCTTGGTTAAAAGGTTACATTGCACTTAATACACAATTGAGGGCTCAAGCTAAAACAAGCTTTGAGAAAAACTTATACAAACTGATGAACAACGCTGTATTCGGAAAAACCATGGAAAACCAGAGGAAGCATAGGCTCGTAAGGTTAATTAATAAATGGGAGGGGCGCGTAGGTGCTCGAAATTTGATTGCTAGCCCAAAGTTTCATAGTCGCGTTATTTTCGATAAATCATTAATGGCGGTAGAATTAAAGAAAACTGAATTTGTTTTTAATAAACCATTGTAAGTTGGAATGGCAATCTTAGAACTGTCTAAAATCTGCATATATGAATTTCATTATGACTATATGTTACAAAAATTTCCATTAAATCAAAATAAATTGCTTTATATGGATACTGATGGGCTGATTTATGAAACTGAATGTAATGACATATACGAGGAAATGATTAAGACTGACATTCATAGATTTGATACAAGCGATTATCCTCCAAACAATCTTTGGAATATTCCTTTAGTAAATAAAAAAGTGCCTGGTCTAATGAAGGATGAGAATAACTCAAAAATCATGACTCACTTCGTAGGTATTCGTTCAAAGCAATATACATATAAAGTGGCTGGGGAGAAAGATGTTAAAAAGTCAAAAGGGGTTAAGATGAATGTTGTAAAGACGAAAATTAACTTTGACGATTATTTGAATTGTTTGAAAAATTTCCGTGAAACTGTCGAAACAAAATCACTTTTTTATGCAACACAGCGTTGTATACAATCCAAATTACATGAAGTTTACAGTATTGAGCAAACTAAAATAGCCTTAAACCCTTTTGACGACAAACGGTACTTACTCCCCAACACTTTTGATACTTTACCGTGGGGTCACTATAGTATAACACATAGCTGAATTCATTTTTCAGATTTGGAAAGAGATGGAAAGTCTACAAACTTTATGCATCAGAAATATTATACAAAATACTAATGAAATTGTAAATTTTATTCAAAGATCGCCTTTACCATGGGTGTTAACAGAAACAATAGCTAAAAAATTTAGTAAAATTAAATGGATGCAAATTAAAACTAATCCCGTTCTTTATGAACATTTTCAAGTTTGTGACTTTGAGAATCATGATCTAGAATTGAATGTCTCACCTGCACTTCGTCAGGCAATTATAGATTGCGACGATTTTGAATCTTTTTCGCAGCATGACTACTATTGCTTGTGGTTTAGGTATTATAAAATACCAAAATATATTTTGCTACTCTGTCGAGTGTGTTACAGAATATTTAAATTAATTTTCTCTAAAAAACAAAAATGTCTAGAGGCTGAATCTGATAATTTTCATATTAGTTGCTTAACTTCAGACTTGCATTCGATATTTAGAAAAAAATCATCTTGACTCTTTAACTCTTTGACTTTAAGGATAGATATGATTGTGAACACGATTTACATGGGGATTATAATAAAAGAGTAAGATTCTTAGATACGTTCTAATAAAATTTAAACCTTTTGGTAGAGACGACCTCTATATTTATCATTTTTAAGTAAAAATATTGTAAAAATATTTTGTACGTTTAAATCTGTATTTTTAGTTGTATTGATCGCAATCGCAAAAACTCGATTATTGCGATTACGATTTAAAAAATAAACGAATAACGATTTAATAAAAAGACTTTTTTGTCAAAAAACTTTATTTTTATTTACCTTTTCCCAATACAATCCCTCATTTATACATTAATTATTCATAAAATAAATTTATTTTAGACAATAAGGATTTCAGTTGTTTTATTAATTCATTATCAGGACATGGGAACCCAAACAAATTCCAGTTAAAACTACCTTTTTCAACGACACTTCTTGTAAATTCATTAAACTTGTAATAAATATTTTTCTTTAAGAAATATATATGTCCATCAATGTAATTAAATACTGATGTAATTTCATTTGGTATTCCTGGAAAAACGTCACTTATGCGTCCTCTTGAGATAATACCTTTATCATTAAATTCAATAAATGAACCATCAAAACAAACAAATTTTTTTCCTGAATTTGTTTGAAATAAACCGGTAATACTTCTTGCGTTATTAACTTCAGGTACCATGTTATCTATATGAATTTTTAAGCTAGGAAATGCTGCTGCGTATATACAATTCCTACTTACACCAATTAAATCTCCATTGCTACTTTGAAAAACATGTGTTACGTTCGTAATTCCCCTTGGCAAATATCTTATAAATTGTTCAGCATTGGTGGGTATCTTTTCATTATTTAAGTCATATTTCCATATCATATCCTTACTTACTATGTACATTCGGTATGTTGGAAACGATGGAGCGTATGCTAAAAATATTAAATCTGGGTATTCCAATTCACATATATTCGTTATGACATTTTGCATCGATTTATTACTCCTATCTATTGTGGTTGCCTTACTCCTAGATCTTTCTGTTGTGGTTGTCTTTAAAGTTGGCGAACTGCTCCTTGTACCACCAGCTTGAGTTGGAATCGACGTAGATTTACTTTTAGGTCCATATAACTCTTCTAAGCCCCTTTTATCATCGTCAGATAGGTTAGTAGGTAGGGTTTGATAAAACGGATACATTACAGCTTTCTTATCACTACTATGAGATAAACCTAAAGCATGACCAACTTCATGAAGAAGAACGGCAAAGAAATTTGTTCGACCTTCTGCTGTAGAATTCAAACTAAAATTCCATGTTAGGTTGCTATTCATATGAATTTCTATGCATCCATTTACTGGCGGAAAATAAGAATGAGCTAATACACCACTTGTAAATTCAAAAGGACAGTCGCCTTTTCCCTGACAATTATATCGAAAAGAGTGCTGCTTTGGAACGACTGTTATTGTTATATCTGGATCTGGATTTGGGGTTTTCAGATAAGTAAACTTAAATTTTGATGCTTTTTCCCATATTTAAAATACTCTTTTAGCGACTATCAAAGCTTCAGGGGTAAATTGAGGAAAATACCATTTTAAATCAAATTTTTTCCATGCTGATTTTACAGCGTCAGCATTGTCTCCTTGTGTACATCTTGGTTTCTGCATTAACGTCATCGTTTCCCTATTTAATTTCCCATCCACAGGTAAATTATATCTTTCTTGAAACTGTTGTAGTATTTCAGTAATATCAGTGTGTGCAGTGTCACTTGCGGTGATATAACCATATTGTTCTAACCATGACACAGCATTTGTCTCGTTAAAATTTTCACCTAAGCAAAAACTTACGATGCCAGTTGCGATCAGCAGAACAACTTTATTAGTTTGCATCTCGAATGATACTGATTCAATTAAAAAAACATCAGTTTGATATAAGTAAAAGTTGACACTCTTTGACCTTATCAACTCGGCTGATTTTTTTTTAATTTTAAAATAAATAAAACAACAGATATATATTTTTACAAGCTTTATTAAATTATTTCAAGATCATTAGCGATCCTATGTTTACAGAAAAATATAAGTTGCCTTAACGCCACACGTTGTAAAGTGTATTCTTCACATGTAAATGCATGCAATTTTTTAATGGCATTAACGAACGAATATTCATGTTTCTTAAAACTACCTTTAACAATATTAAGCGTATTATAATAAAAATTTGGAAATTGAATGGTCTCTAACATTGCCACATATGGATTTAAAAGTTCGTTATTTGCTTCTAAAAGGGTGTTCACTTACATTTCTGAGAGACAAAAGTTGATGCCATGCTTGATTATTTCGAGGAATTTGATTTTGTCGTAGATTATTTGTCGAATTCTGCAATAGTCACCACACTGAATTTCAGCAGGATCATCCGGAAAGGTCACGTTCTCATCGAAAAAACTATTCTCATTGAGTTGGGTAATTAATTGCCCCCATTCATATGTACTGAAAGATATTTTCTGCCATGGTGATTTCCACATAATTACAGCAGGAGTGTATGTTCTGGCTGGACTAAGACCGCATCCAACTTGGTATGATTCATTTAAAAACTGTGTGTACAGCAGGTAATCTGTCTCGTTCTTGGCCGCTTCTTCGTACTTCTCTACAAGTGCATCCAGCTCATGGTCATAGCTTTCAAATACCATTGATGTTTCAGATGATGGTGAAAGAGTGACATCATACTCGCTATCGCTTGAGTATCCAATATCTTGGGAATACATTTTTACTAGCTAACTGATTGCAACAAACTAAGAAAGAAAAACTTGTTTCTACGTGTTTCTCCTCAATATTTTCATACTTCCGTTCCCCCACCTTTTTAGATAACGGCATCATTATTAATCCAACTATTATATTTTGCATCAAGACCAAGCCATTTAACGTACATTTTGTTATTTTTACGACGTAAAATTTTTTCGACTAAGTAAATATCAGGATTGGCTGTTTTCTGCAATTCTTCATCATAAAAGGCCCCTTTGATCGGTGCACCCTGCATGTCTTCGAGCATGTACGTTGCAGGGTTGGTAATATTAATTTTAGTAACTTTGAATAATTCCGTTGTCCAATTTGGAACGTAACCCTTATCGAATAACATTTTGGTTTTGCTGATGCGTACTATGTCGCCTACTTTAAATTTTCGCGGGCCTGCAACTTTTAAATGCGTAAACTTGTTGTTTACAATCTCCTTTTCATTGGTTTTGTTCACTTGTGATGGTTTGTACCCCGTTTTTGAATGCTTTGTATTATTGTATTCAGACGTAACTTTGGGTAATATGTCAATCCACTTGTATGTACCGTGTAAGCTGAAATACTTGTATAGTTTGGATTTCAACGTTCTAATGACACGTTCAGCTATGGCTGCTTTCATGGTAGTAAAAACAGAGTAATGATTTATTTTATGTTTTTTCATTAAATTTTGAAACTTATTGTTGTAAAATTCAGTTCCCTGATCCGACTGCAGATTTTTCGGTGTTCGCTTACTGTGTTTAAGTATATCTGAAAATGCTTGAGTTAGCTCCTCACCCGTTTTTGTCTTTAATGGACGAGTCCAAAGGTATTTCGAGAAACAATCAATAACAACTAAAATTAATTTAAAATTTCTATTGTTATGAGAATGAGATCGCATTTCAGCCAAGTCCATCTGCCATAAATCGTCTAAGCCTTTAATAATTGTACGTCGTCCCGGATAATTTTTTCGTGCTTGCTTATGAAGCTCATTAACTAGTTGTATCTTCTCTTTGGAAGACGCCATGTCTACTTCCTAACGCTTCAACTCTTTGAACTAATTTTTACCTTCTAACGCTTAAGTCATTGTTTCCTAGTCTTTATAGGATTTTATTATTTTTGATGTATTCTTCTATTACCTTAAGACGATTGTGTAAATCATGCGAATTAAGATCCATTGCTTTAATCTTTTTTTCTATTTCCAACGTTTTCATCATAATTTGTGCATTTTTAAATTCATGCATTTGTTTTGATACATCAGATATTTTTGAATCAGTCATTTTATTCTCATTAGACAACTCGTTAACTTTTTTACTTACATTATCTTCTATTTTTTTGACAGAGTTTGAGATTTTTTGTTCGAGTTGAGTATCTTTTTGAATTAAATTTTTTAGTATCAAATTAATCTCTTTTCTTAGAAAAGTTTTCGCACGAACAATGCTGTCATCTACATATTTCTTATTGAAAAGATGAATACCTGCTACAGGAGGATCTCGTTTAATATCTTTATTTACTTCATGTATCTGGTTTTGTAAATCTAAAATGGATTGCTTTAAGCCTTCACGTAGCTTTTTAACAACTTGTTCATTAGAACGATAATGATGACGACCAAACTTGTCAACACTCATATTGGAAATGATGTTCCAATAATCTAACCTAACATTAATATATAATATCTGCTTCACGTAATTCGTTGATAATGGCAACAATTTCGTTATTGTGGGATGTGTTTCCTGCTTCTTGGGAAGCAATCAACAATTTGAGTCTGTCGCATAGTTCGTTTGGATCAACCCAATACACATATTCAATAGGATTATCATTGTAGATCAAATGAGAATCATCGACGAGCCCTGACCCTTTGGAGCTAGAAGGTGAAGATAACGATGTTCGAGGAGACGTTGTTGACGATGATGAACGAGTCGTTTTTGCTAAACGAGTAAGACTTTCGAAAGGTTGTCTCTTTAATGCAGTAGATCGAGTTTTTGGTGGCGATTTCTTAGTTGTTGCATCGATAGGTTTAAATAGGGGTTTGATAATCTGATGATATTTTCTCCCAGTTGCACCTTTAAGACGACCTTTGGAATCCAGATGAACTTCTGTACTATTTAATAAACTTTTATAGTGCTTTAAATCTTTATCATTATAATCTTCAGGGTTATCATAGAAAATTAGTTGGTACAGACCTGGCGTTCCCGGCACCCATCCTCCTTCTCCACTACTGTCACTTATGACTTGTACAATACCTTTGTTTTTGTTAAAGTTTATTCGTCGTTTACCCAACATCCAACCAAATTCATCAGTGTAAATAGGTCCATAGTTTTTATCAATTTTATTGTCTTTCATCCAAAACTCTTTTATATACTTGTGGCTCATTGGAGGATATTGCTCGATATATTCATCAATAGCCTCTTTCGAAACATTATTAGGATCAAACATTTCATGTTCTTTAACTTGACTGGTTGATAGTGCATCAGGAAATACATCGTCATCGCTATCTTCTTTTTTTACCTCTTCTTCCGTTTTGATCTCTTCCTTTTTAACGTGTCTAAGCTTGTTATTAATATCACGTTGCAACGTTTTTGAAGATTGCGCAATATCTTTTAGAGGCTTAGCTATCGGCTTAAATAGTTTATTTAGCGACTCATCTTGTTCTGTTCTACCTAACTTTAGCGCCAAATACTTTCTGCGAATGACCCTAGCCAATTCGGCAACTTTACGTTTTCGTGCAGCTACCTCTTTGTCTGACATATTGTTATACAATGCTTGTGTTTCGATCATACCTACAATTTTATAAATTTGTCGAAACCTTTACGATATCGCCCGTTAGAAATATCGAAATCCTTAACAATGATGAATGTACCGTATTTGTCTTTCCAACATTCGGAACAATATTGTTTAAATTGGTCAAATGTCATGTCGGGAGAGACGTGATCATCAAAAACGTGTTTTAAATTGAGCTCATCCTGTTTAAACAATACAATAAGGTTTGCATTATCACGTAGGAGTTGTTTACCTGCTCGACTATACGATTGACATAAATATGCACAATCGATATCTTTATGCCTTCCCATACAGTAATATTCACGTATTGTTTGTTGTGGATCCGTTGAAACATCATCAAAGATAAAAATGGAATTTGGTTTAGCTTTACTGGGATTTATGACCTCATTATTATCTTTAAATGGAAAATAGCCTACTTCTTTCACAGACTCCAACACTTCCTTCAAAAATTGATACTTGGATTGAAACAATGACTTTGAATAAACGTAAACATTTTTGAATTTAGCACCATTCAGGTCAAAAAGTAATGCTAACATAGCATTAGTTTTTCCACATCCGCTTGGACCGCATATGATAGCACGAAAAGAATGTGGTAGCAATGCACCATGTTTACTGGATCTTGTCACTTTATCCACAAAATCTAAATTTTCTACTGGTAGTGTCTTGTCTTGTTGAATTACCTTCATCTTGTGATTGGTATATGTTCTATACACGTGGTTATATAAAAAAGGAATTGTATAAGAATCCATTCATTTCAATGTTGGTTGTTCAAGGTGAAGGAGTTTTAAATTCTCTGATCAATAGTCTACCATTTGAATTGCATGCTCCTGGCTATCAATATCTAGGACCTGGAACTAAATTGCGGAAACGTCTAGCTCGCGGAGATCCTGGGATAAATCCGTTAGATCGAGCTGCTAGAGATCACGATATTGCATACTCTCAAAGTAATTCCTTAAAAGACCGACATAAAGCAGATTGGGTGTTAGAAAATAAAGCGTGGGAACGAGTTAAAGCAAAAGACGCATCTTTAGGTGAAAAAGCAACAGCTTGGTTAACTACTACAGCAATGCAAGCTAAACGAAAATTGGGTATGGGCATGAAACGTGGTAAAGGTGTTAGATCATTTAGACGACATGTTCTGCAACCAATTATCAAAAAATTGAAACGAGCTCCTCCATCACCAAATCTGCGCAATACAGCCCTTCTAGCACTTGCAGCAGCTAGAACAGCTGTTAAGAACGTAGGTGGGAAAAAGAATGTACGGGTTCCAAGAATCCTTCCATTCGAACCAAAATCAGGTGGTATTTTACCTTTAATCCCCATCTTTGCAGGCTTAGCGCTTGGTACCTTGGCGGGGGGTGCTAGCGCAATCGCCAAGACAGTAATTGATTGAAAGAATGCTCAAAAGAAACTAGAAGAAGATAAACGTCACAATAAAGCTATGGAACATATAGGCAAAGGATTATACCTTCGAAAAAACGCTAAAGGTGGCTTTGGATTATATTTAAAGAAGTCAAAAAACTCCCGTTGAAGCTACCTAATAGACCTTTGACTAATGTGGACTTGATTAAATTTGCTAAACTACTTAAAATTTCAAATTTTCGTGGTGTGTTTATGAGAGATAATTTACCACGTATCCCTCGTAAACATGAATGTGCTATATTTAATCTCGACATTTCAACGAACCCCGGTACACATTGGGTAGCTTACAAGAAGATAAACAACAACATAGAGTACTTTGATTCATATGGTTGCTTGAAGCCACCGCGAGAACTAGTATCATATTTGAACGGTGGAAGAATTTTCTATAATAACGATCAATATCAAAGCTATAACCAAATAAACTGTGGACATTTGTATTTAAAGTTTCTCTACAATGGACCTATCTAACGACATCTTGAGACGTGCCATTCACATTTTTATGGAAAATATAACTAGCTGTGTTTGGTATAAACTACCTCAAGATATTCGTAACACACTAGAAGAGTATTTACCTTGCAAGAAAGATTATGATAAACATAAATGGACTGATGTTTGTGGCATGTATGAAAGTACATGTGTGTTTTGTAAAGTGCTATATTATGAGAATAATAAAACAAAAACATGTAACAGTATAAGAAAAAAAATAAAGAACAATTTTTTTAACATATTTTGTTATTTAACTTACTTCATCTTTTATCCTGTATCAGTCATGTCTCGATTGTTGACCCTGACAAGT